TAAGGGTGATAAGGAGATGCTACTTTACGTTGAATTCTATAGTGGCCCGAAACTTTTTCTAGTTGAGTGTTGCAGAAGTATGATCCTCCACACTAATGAGTTTTCGAGGCATTCCAAAATGAAAAAAAAATGTTTTTCTTTAGAAATTTCACTAATGTCCTGCCATCATCCTTAGGTGTTGCAATATCTTCCATCCATTTCGTATGAAGAGGGAAATGTTCCAACAAAGTCGATTCCCCAACAATAACAAAAACTTCCATTTCAAGCATGTTTTGTATTGGACTTTCGTTCCTTTTTGAAATTCCTCCCATTCTCTGACAACTATAACATTGTTGGGTATACTCATGGAAGTATTTAAATAGATTAGGTATGTAAAATCCATATTGGAGAAATTTTGTTGTATTTCTCTCTCCATTGTAATGGCCTCCATATGGCGAGTTGTGACAACGCCGCATTATTCTTTATGCTTCTTCTTTAGTCACACACATCCTTAGTAAATTGTCACCTCCTATCTTAAAAGTATATTGTTCATCCTAAACATACTTATTAGCATCTCATAAAAATTACTTTTTTTGATGTTAATTAAAATCCTAAGGTATTAAACCAACTACTTTATAATTATCCATGTCGTCAAACGACGACCTTTCTTGTGCAATGAGTAGTTTTTCATCAAGGAATTCTTATAAAAAAATCATGTTCCTGCTGGATTACTTCTTCATTCACCAATCTGGATAGGTGGTCATATACTAAGTTTTATGATCTAATCATATCTTTTATTTCTACATCAAAATATTGTAGTAAAGCATTCTTATAATCAACCTTGGTTTGGAATTAGTGTCATCAAATAATTGATAGGTGCATGGTCAGTACACACGGTAATTTTGGAACCAATCAAGTAAGATCTAAATGTTTTTAATACATAGACTATTGCAAGAAATTCATTCTCAATTGTTTCATAATTAACTTGAGCATCATTAAAAACTTTGCTTGCATAATATATATCAAGATTAATTTTAGTCTTCCTTTATTCCAGAACAACACCTACTTTATAATCACTAACATCGCACATTAATTGAAATTTAAGTGTTCAATCAGGTGTTGTGATTATGAGTGTAGTTACCAATTTTTCTTCTTAAATTTTAAATGAAAGTAAACATGAATCATAAAAGTTAAAAGAATTATCTTTGTTAAGTTGGTTGCTTAACAGTTTGGAAATTTTGCAGAAGTTTTTGATGAATCTTCTATAAAATCCAATATGACCGAGAAAGCTTTTGATTCCCTTAACATTTGTTGGTGGTGGAAACTTATCAATTACTTCTACTTTTTCCTTGTCAACTTATATGCCTCTGGAGAAGATTTTATTCCCAAGTATTATGTCTTTAGTTACCATAAAGTTGCACTTCTCTCAATTCATAATCAAATTAGTCTTCATGCATTTTTTCATGCCTCTAACAACTTCACCAATTATTTTATGACAACCTCTTTCATTATAGGATTCAAATGACATTGAGGTTGATATATTGGTTTTAAATTCTCTTCCATCATAATTTTATGCATACAATAAGATAAACATATACCTTTTAAGTAAGCTAACACCCATCATATTGCATCTTTATTTTCTTTCAATACCTGAATTAGTTTTTGCACCTATTGAGTAGATAAGTAATTGTTGGTAATTACCCATTTGTTGCCACATTCTTCTAGAAAGATGTATTTTAAATGTGGTAGCAACACATTCAATTTGGCTTGGGAGTATATGATCCTGGTCCATCTTTCAATTTTTCTACTTTGGTTTCACTAGGAGGAATTCATTTCTGAGTGTCACGCTCTTCTTTAGTATCTTTCAATTCTTTTGTGTTGAAAACATTAAAAGTATTGGTCAATGCTCCTTCTTAAGGAGTGGGATTGTGCAGTTGCTTTTTCACATTTGTTACGGCTTCCTCTATGGCATCTATTTTGAATTCTCCATGACTTCAAAAAGATTAAATTTTACCTCATCGTCTTGGACTCTAACCTTCATTTTTCCATTATCAACATCAATTCTCATGCTTGTTCTCTTCATAAAAGGTATGCCTAGAATCAGAGAAACTTCATCATCTTCTTCAATGTCAATCACCACAAAATCAACTAGGAATAGAAATTTATCCACTTTTACCGAAACTTCCTCGGCTATTACAGATGGACGCTTGATTGATTTGTCTTCCAGATGCAACGTCATCCCTATCTATTTCATCTTAAGGTTATTAATCTTCTTGATAATTGATACCCTCGTCTTCTTTGACTATTCTAGATGGACTTTTCTCGTTATTTTTTCTAACCTGAAAATCCTTTTTTTTCTCATTATTTTGTTACACTCAACTTCTCGTTGAAACTATCAAAATTAGAAATCAAAAACTAAGGGGAGAGACAAATACCCCTTCTTATTGAGATCCCCGTGCACAAATATGTGGCTAACATCCAACTTCCCAAGGAACCAGCCTTTAAAAGCAACCAAAGCAAGTTATACTCGGCCTAATAATGGTGAGTTTGAATACTAAGCTAAATGTATCAAAGTAATCAACACATTCTAATTGAGTGAAACCCTAATCAAAAGGTCCGGTCTTCTGCCTTTCAATGGTTTCATCAGCACGAGGGTGTTCAGATACAAATGTGAGTTGAAAGTCTCACATTTGTTAGAAAAGTGGAGGTTGAGCATTTTATAATTGAGAAGACTCATATATTCAATACTTTAAAGTTTTGGTGAATATGAGGTATCTCTCTTACACTTGTGTTTCACTCTTGACCCAATATAGTACTCCTCCTCATGATTCATCAGTGATATATCAAAGTCGATGGTTTCGAGTATGGGGTCGGCTCCTCGTATCAAAGTATTCCTGACATAGTGGTGATCAAATGGCATGTCCTGTTGAAGTGCATGTGATGTGGTTAGAGTGTCAACGACGAGAAGCATATATGGATGAAAGAGTTTTCGCTTGAGGGAACGTAGTGGATGGACTCATATTTAAATAGGAGATTGTTATAAATTCATGAACATTCAATGTCCAATTGTGTGTTCCAAAATGATAAGAAAAGTGGAATAAATGTTAATAAATGTAAGGGAAATAGTCTCACATAGAAATATTTATTCACATTTAAAGCCTTTATAAAGAGTTAAAAATATTAACTCAACAAAAGGACAAAAGAGGATAAAGTGAGACATGGACAAATGTGGTGGTCCCAAGCATTATGTCACTTGTCTCCTCCGTATATCCCTCGTCGTCGTCGACTTCGTGACCGAGTTCGAGGGCGTGGACTTGTAGGCGGAACTTGATCACTTAGGCATTACGTATCGGAGTAATCGGGCTACTCGTAATATTATGAGGCAGCGCCGGTGGCGCTTCGGCAGCCGGCGACCGGCCTATTGTTCTCGTTTTGATCGACACATGCATTTGAGTTTTTGAATTCGAAGAGAAGAAATACTTCGTGAAGTGTTGTTGCGGAATGAAAATAGGTAATGCTTGGAAACAATGCAACTTTTAGTTAAAATGTGTTGTTTCATCAAGGGTCGCAACCTTGTGAAACAACACATACATGCGCTATAAATACTTCATTTCGAAATTCAGAAATCACATCACAAATCGAATATCCTCTTAAACAAATTCCAAACTTTCTTCGCTACAAATCGAGTTGTTGTCGGTCTTGCGCAAATTCGATATAAGGCTGAATTATCCTGGATATTATTGTGTTCCAACTCTAAGACACATTTGAGGATGCTTGAAATACTTTTAAGAAAAGTGATTTCGTTCACGATTCAACCTACATTCATTCAACTTTATCGATATTTCTAACAGAGATTGTTAAAATACAAGTGTGAGTTAAAAGTCTCACGAACCATAAAAGAGGATTAGTTTTAAACACTCATTTATAATGAATGTGAGATAACCGTGTTTTATTCCAATCAAGTTTATGGTTTGGCATTGCTAAGAGAGAAAAAATATAGTTGAAACTAAAAATACTTAGAGACGAAAAACAACAAATGAAATAAAAGTTGGTAAATCCAAAGCTCACATGAACACTGATATCATCTTGGTATTGAAACAGATAGAAAAATGAGGCAAAAGATCATATAAATTTTTCATCATTCAATATTTAGAATGTGAAATATGAATGTCACATATGCTACAATGGTTAGTATTTATACAAGTGACCAACCAAAGTTAAGCTAATTAGTTAATTAAGATTAGTTAATAAGGATTGAAGGAATTTCAAAATTTTAACTTTAGTATTTTAAATTATATTATAAATAGCTTTTGTTGTTGATTTCGAAAAGAAAAACAAAAACTAGTATATATGAGATTTAATCTAATGGTTAAAATGGTGACACAATAGATATTTTTTGTGACTAGATACATGATACGGTATCAATTAGGCCATAAAATTCATCAATTTTTTGTATTTCCAAAGCTAAACTCTTATTGGCTTCAAAGATCTCTTTTCACGGAACTTCACTACTTACAAGTACAAAACTACCCTTTTATTACGTGACACGTGGCTAACCATGTCTAGTATATTAACCATTATATTCATTACATTAAAACCAAATTATAATAAAATAATAGTTATATAATTGATGCATATAACTAGTTAGAGACACACTTAAAAAATTCAATTGACAACATATTAAAAAATAAACCTTTTTTTTTACATTATAGCAAATAAATATTATTTTATTGGCTTCTATAATCATCCAAGATCCAACCAAGTTGTCAAATCCCAAAGCTGAACCCTCTTTTTTTGGCTTATAAAATCCACCTTCAAATGAAACTTACTACTAGTACTTTTAATACCTATAAACAAACAAACAAACACTATCTCACAAATTCTTACATATTTGACACCTATCTCTCAACCTCACCATCACTATCATCCAAATATCATCACATTACCCTCTTTTCCTCTCACTTTATATATTTCTCAGTTCTTTCCAATTATTACACAATCTCATTCATTCATCCTCCATCATGAAGGTGATTCATCACTCTTTCAACTTTCCTTCCTTTAATGTTAATTTAGTTTGTCTTATGAAACACTTCATTTCATCTAACATAGTTGTCGTGTTTTTTTGTTTTTTTTTTGTCATTGTAGTTCTTTAGTTGGATGCAAAATAAACTTGGTGGAAAACAAGAGAATGGAAAATCAAACACATCTACATCTACTTCATGTAAGTTTTCATTACTTTTATGTAGTTTTTCCCAATATCATGGAAGATTATTGTTAATAACTCATTGTCTCATAAAAAGAAAAAAAAACATATACTTCAAAATGAAGCAACAATTACATAAAGCCAAAGCAATTAAAGACAAGGATTTATAAATTATATGTCTGTTTTTTAACATGTTTCCTTCACTTTTTGATTTTTTTTTCGCGATTATGTTAGAATCGACTTATTTGAACTTATCTGCTGAGATAAATAATTTACCTGATGATATAGATCATGCAAAACAAGAGCCTAGAGAAGAATTCAGGGATTGGCCTCATAGTTTGCTAGCAATTGGAACATTTGGGAACAAAGATGAAATCAAACAACAAGAGGACGATCCGTCGTCGTCATCGGAGGAAATACCAGACTTCACTCCGGAAGAAATTGGGAAACTGCAAAAGGAGTTAACGAAACTCCTAAGACGGAAACCGAATGTCGAAAAGGAGATTTCCGAGCTTCCTCTTGACAGATTTCTTAACTGTCCTTCAAGTTTGGAGGTTGATAGGAGAATCAGCAATGCACTTTGCAGTGAGTTATCTGATGATCACAAAGATGAAGATATTGAGAAAACACTTAGTGTCATACTTGATAAATGCAAAGACATTTGTGCGGAGAAAACCAAGAAATCGATTGGAAAGAAATCTATTTCTTTTTTGATGAAGAAGATGTTTGTTTGTAGAAGTGGATTTGATCCAACTCCAAGTCTAAGAGATTCTCTTCAAGAATCCAAAATGGAAAAGGTACCTATTTTCTTACATAAAACCCTCCTAATTCGCAAATTCGGATTGTCTCTGAAAAACAACTCACACATTCGCGTAGTCAGCATATCAGTGAATATTTAAACTGTTTGATCTCGATTGAAGAACCAACTATGTACTTACTGCGTGAATGTCTGAGATTGCTGATCTAGACAATCTAAATTTCGGCGATTATATATATATATATTTGCTTCATTTTTTTAATACTATGTTGAAATCTACAGCTTTTAAGGACAATGCTTCACAAGAAACTTCAAACACAAAATTCTTCTCGCGCATCGGTGTTAAAGAATCGCATCGAGGACAAAAGGACTATAACGAAGAGAAATATCGATGATGAAGAACCAGAGGAGAGATCTGATGAAGGAAGCAAATGGGTCAAAACCGATTCTGAATGTAAATTCATCTTAACATTCATATTTACACATCACATAATCATAAACATCATATAATCCATTCACTAATAAGTACTTTTTTTTCCTTTGCAGATATTGTTCTAGAAATATAATTCTACTCCTATGTTCAAAATCCTTTAATTAGTACATGTTCAGGTAAAACCGTTCAACTTTATTTTATTTTTTGTTATAAAAATAATTTATACAAAGCGCTTAATTAAGTTGTTTATCTATTAACAGATTGAAGAAAAAAAAGTGAAAAATGTATAATATATGTACAAGATTGTGGGGAGAGTATGAAGTGGAGCTCATGAAATTTTTCTAGAAGAAGTTCATATGTGATATCTTTGTTTTGTTAACAGTGCAATCTGTTAATTTTTTCATGTGCTTGTGTCTACAAATGTGGAACAACTCATGTTATGGAAAATCACAAAATGGATTTCTGATTTCTTTATATTAGCCTATGGCTAGAATTTTCATTACATAATTCTCATCTTTTTTTTACTCCACTTTGTTGTTACCTACTCTTCTTGTAACATCTTGGAATTGATATATATTTTTTCCTACTCCACTTTGTTGCTTTTTGTGTGGAATGAATAAATAATACTTAACTTTGTTGGGTTTTAGAACCAATGATGAATTAGAAAAAGATAATGTGACATACTTTTAATGAAGAAAATGTTTGGAGAGTAGTGTGATTTGAATAAGAATGAATTAATTAAAGCACTAATCTAATGATTGAGAAAATTTGTTAATTTAATTGCTATGATGTTGTGATAAAGGGGGACAAAGACAAACTAGCAAAATATGCTTTATTGGAATTATTTTATTATTTCTTTGATTATGTTTTATAAATGGGTAGGAACTAACATAAACGTTTTTTCTATAAAAAAAACAACCTTTAGTATTTTTTTTTTGTAATAACTTCAATTATAATCATAAAACTAGGACCTGGTTCAACAAAGTACAAAGATATGAGAAAGATATATGTCTTCTATCAATACCCCTTCATTATTAGGGTTTTTTAAATTGAAAAATGAAACACATTAAGAATTTGATGTGTGACAAATAATAGTGGGCAATCGAATCTAAATAATCTCAAGCAATTATAATATACAAACTATTGCAAACAAAACAATAATAACAAAAAGAAGATATGAGAAAGATAATGAACAAGCATACAAAGGAAGTGTTTATCCAATTTGATCTAAAAAGAACCTACTTTAGAAAAATAATAGATTTCATATTTATTCGTCTCCAAATCCGCAGTTTAAAAAAATTCTCATACTCAAACCCATATCCGTGTGGCACTGATGTTTGTACTTGTACTCGTACCCTTTGGATATCTAAGTACCCATATTCATATTTATTTACCCGCATTTCTAATAAAAAATGACTGATTATTTATAATTTATCATGTTATTTTAATTTTTTAAAAACATTCAAAAAATTTAAAGGATGTTATTGTTGAGATAAGAAATAAACAAATATTTATATTAAAATGCGTAAAAATTTAATAGTGATGTATTTAATAAAATTGTTAGATTAACATGTGTACATAATACTGAAAATAAAAATAAATAGATATATATAATGCGGGTATGAGGCGGGTTGAGTACTAAGTTACCCGTGCTCGTGCCCATACCCGCTTATTTTAGTGGCTAATTGCTCATACTCGTGCCCATGCCTAGTTTTGAGAAAATATTACAAAATGAGTTATAAAAAAAATACAAACTCTAAGATTATAAGAATATCTCTTATTTTATATCTATTTTGGACTCAATTTGTCTTCCAGTCAATACATGAATCAAACTCAATCTCAATATATTTATAAGTATTTCTCAACCCTTACATAACATCCAAAAATTACCAAACTCTTAAACTAATGAATCCTAAGAAGTTATCTCTTCGTCCAAAATGGCTGACGTTTGAAGCAGAAACAAACCCTTAAGATGTTACTCAGAACGCCTTGCGCTCAAGACCAAAACAAATTAGACGAAAATATTGACTTTTTGAGTTTTCTTTACACACACTTCACAAATCTCCACCTTCACTCAAAAACCAATGGTAATGTTAATTTATTCATCAACAACTTTATTGCTCTCTTCAACCTTGAACCATTCTACAAAAAACTTGATCGAGTTCCAACAATGTGTGAACCTTGATTAGACAGTGCCTTGGTGAACACATCCACCATATTATCCTTTGAAGTCACATTTTTAACTTTAATCTCCATCCACTTAATCATATCTCTTATAAAATAAAAACACATGTTTATATGTTTTATCCTCTTGTGATTCACTTGCTGTTTATTATCACGCCTCAATTTTTCCCCTTACTCATTTCATTCATCAAGACATATGCACCATTTTCATTTTGAAAAGTCAACAAAGATACAATCAAGTTGAAACATGGTGTGAAAGATAATCCCATCCCTTTTATATCATGTCTTGAAATCAAAAGAAGTAATTTAAATTTTATATGATTTTCACTATTTGTGACTTACATTAGGGCATCTCACACCATACATTATCATCACCATCATTGTTGGATTTTCTATTTCATTTCAAAATACAAAAAGTGTCAATTGGATTTTTTTTAAACAAAAAAAATAGATATATTTCAAAAAACAAAGATATGCAAGGCGATCGCGCAAATTCAGCCCCCTAACAAGACAAACAAAAACAAAAGCAACCTAAGTTACATCATCACCTTAGCAATATGGACTCTTAGCTTAGGCCTCATCCAACCTCTATATACAATATTATCTATAATTTTCCTTGTTACATTGTATCATTTGTATTGTTGTCAAAACACACATCATTCCTATATTGTCAAACACCATAGATAGTCTCAACAATGACTATCATCATTAGAGTGGGCTTTCCAACTCTTACCTTTAGTTTGACTTACAATCCACTTAAGTTCCTCCATCCAACTTTGAGGCATGTGTTGCATTACCATCCAATTGAGAACATCATTCCAAATTTCACATGCGATCCTACACTCAAACAACAAGTAATCAATTGTTTCATCAGCATCACTGCACATGCTACAAATACTAGTATGCATCATCCCAAGTCTCATCAGTCTTGCTTTTGTAGCCAGTTATCTGTGGCATGCTAACCAAAAGATTAGGACATTTCTAGGGCGCACAAAATTGTGTCTCAAAATACGGCTCCAACCAACTCTAGTATGGTCATCAATCAGCTTTTTGTAATTCCAGTTACATCATACACCTAGGGGTGCCTCCCTTCCTAGTGTACCCTTTCATCAGCTCAAAAGCCAAAAAGATGTGGTTGTTGATGACCTGGCATGGCACAAAAGCAGCTTGGCTATGATGGATGACTTCTTGAAGCACCTTGCCCAACTTGTTTGTCACTATTTTTTAGATGATTTTGTAGTAGGTAGTACAGTCAGCAATAGGCCTATAGTCTCTTATGGCCTTAGCATTGTCATTCTTTGGAATTAAGGTTACCATTATGCTATTAAAGGCTTTAAACATAATGCCTTTTTCAAAGAATTCCAGAATAGGTGTTATTACATCTCTCTTGGTGATGTGCTACTAGCTTTGAAAAACTTTGCTCCATATCCATCAATGCCTGGAGATTTCAAGTCCCCAATACCCTGTAAGGATTTAACTATTTCCTCTTCAGTGACCTTGCCTACTCAAAACTCTCTATGATCCATATTAAGCTGCCTACCACTTCTCATAGCTTCCATATCCACATGCTTCAAATTTTGAGTAGCCTGCCCCATGAGACTCCCATAGAAATCCATCACTTCTTTATGAATGTCCTTCTGGTATGTGAGAATAGTCTCATCAAGCCTATGAAGAATCCTCATACTCTTAGCACTTTGCTTAGTTTTTAGAGTAGCATAGTAGTAAGCATTATTCTCATCACCCAATCTAAGCCAATCAATCTTAGATCTTTGCATCGACATCTTTTCCTCCAACTCATTCCACTTGATTACATCCTCAGTACAGTTCTTCACAAACTCCACCTTTTGGAAATTAATTTTATTATGCATAAGCTATGTCTGGGCAGTCTCCAAATCTTGCCTAGCTTTCTCTAAGTTTTGCCTCACATTGGAAATGGACTTGCTAAAGGCTTTCAAGTCAGGTTTCAGCCTTCTAAGTTTATGCCAAAGTACATACATAGGGCTGCCTCTTAAAGGTTGATTCCAACTGTTACTTACAACATTTTTCATAGCCCAAAATATCAACATAATTATAAAACTTGAATCTTTTTTTCTTTATCCCCTATTTTGCCTTGCCAGCCACACAAAGAAGAACATGGTCAGAGACACTAGGAGGGAGATTATTCAAAGTGTTTCCCATATTCTCTTGAAACCACTCCACATTCCCAAGAACTCTATCAATTCTAAAGTAGATGGTGCCCACAACATGATTATTATTAGACCATATGAAATAGTCCCCAATGTTATCCATCTCACATTGCCCAGTTTTGAGCATCATATTCTATAAATCTATATACTCTACCTCACTCACCATCCTCCTAACAATCTTATCCTGAGCCTTTACCACATTGTTAAAATCTCCCATCACACACCAAGGCCCTTGTTGATTATTGTACAAGTTCCCAATGTCCTGCCAAAGAATTCTTCTATACTCCAACTGATTTTGGGCATAAAAAGTTGTTACCCAATACTTAAACCCTCTAGAATTATCATAAATTCCACAATCAATAAATTGGTAAGAACTTCTAACATGCCTAATATCCACCTTTGTATTATCCCATTCAATCCATATTCTACCATTGTCATTATGATGGTAATCATCAATATATCTACCATTAAGGTTAAGCTTCTCTCTAGCCAGTTTAGCTTTAGAATACTTAACTCTTATCTCTATCAATATAGCTATCTCAGGTTTCAACTTTAGGAGACAAGAGCTAATCTCCCTAAGTTTACCTAACTTATTCAGACCCCTAACATTCCAAGAGAATAACATGGTCACCTATCAAAGGCCACTAGTGGGTCATGCCTCAAAGTCATTCACACAATTAACTTTAGATGTTGATTCAACATATGTTATTCTCTTACCTTTATCTCTAGTGGCTTTGTTCACCATTGTCCAGTTCTCCCCATTGTCTTCTTCAACCTGCTTCTTAGGATCTTCCTTTAGCGTCAAGACTGTAGGCGTAATAGCTTTGATGATGTCAGGTGGCTTGGTTTTTGGTTTCCATTGTTTCCCTTTCACAACAATATATGGAGGAATATGTTCCCTAAGGCACATGTTCAAGTGCTTCACAAGCTTGATTATTTTGATCACTATCCCATTCTAATTCGTCTTTTGGATAAGGATCTTCGTAGACAAAAATAGAGACTTTGGGTTTGAAAGTGCCTGGTTGGTGGATAAATCCTTTGATAATCTGCTTAAAGGGTCGTGGGACGAGAATGTCAATCTGGATGGCAACTTATTGTCTTTTAAGGAGACAATGGAGCAGTGGAAGATGCACAACCTTAAAAGCATAAATAAAGAGAAGAATAAGCTTCTTATGAGACTTAAAGGGATCCAAATAATAGTTCAGAGTGGGAGAGACCATGCTGGGCTAAGGAAATTGGAGCGACATCTTCAAAATAATCTTGGCTAAATATTGTACCAGGAAGAGCTTATGTGGTTTCAACGGGCCAAGTCCAATGGATGGTTGATGGTGATAAAAATACTAAATTTTATCATACTAAAGTTGTTCAACAGCGTAGAAAGAATATGGTTAATATGCTTAAGGTTGAGGAGGGCCAGTGGATTGAGGATGGTGGGAAAATAAAAGATATGTTCAATACCAATTTTCTCAATCTCTACACCAAGGACCTAGATACTACTGAAGGGTGCAACACTCATCACATGTTCTCTACCATGTCTAATCATCACAGAAAACTTCTTGAGGTAGATATTCAGAATAGTGAGATAAAGCAAGCTCTTTTCAGTATGGCGGCTTAGAAGTCCCCTGGGCCTGACGGTTTCCCAGCGTGATTCTACCAAAGTACTTGGGATGTTACTAGTGACAATGTGTTTCATTTCATCAAGAGTTTGTGGATGAAGGAAACTAGCATTGCGGAGATCAATTACACGAATATCTTTCTTATTCCAAAAACTGTCAATCCCCAAATGGTTAATCACTTCAGGCCTACAGCTCTGTGTAATTTGATTTACAAGCTGTTCAACAAAGTTATTCTCAATAGGCTGAAGCCTATCATGGATATTTTGTTAACTGCTAATCAGAATGGTTTCATTCGCAAGAGAAACATTCACGATAATATTATGGTGGCAAATGAAATTCTTCATAGCATGAATCGAGTCAAAGGTAAAAAAAAGGTTACTTCGCTTTATAGCTTGAACTTGCTAAAGCATATGATAATCTTAGTTGGTCTTTTGTGGAGCGTATTCTAGGTGAAGCTGGTATCCTGGAGGTTATAAAAGACCATGTTATGGAAGCTATTTCTATTAACAAGATATGAGTCTAGTGGAAAAGGGAGAAAGGCTAGTATTTTAATGCCAAAAATGGTCTTAGGCAAGGAGACCCCTTGTCTCTATATCTCTTTGTTCTTGGCATCAACAACTTGTTACGCATATGCCTCAAATGGATCAATGTTGTGCCAACTGATTAGAGTCTTTGGAAACAACTTGTTAAGTTATAGCCCCATTTAGAGAGTATAACTTACTAGGAGTTGGGGAATGGCAAGGACATTAGGTTGTGGGAAGACGCTTGTATCCAACCAGGCCTGAAGTTGAGCACTAAGTTGTGTAGTCAGAATTATATAGTGGAACATAATGTTAAAGTTGGAATTATGATGGATAATATAGAGGATTGGAATTGGCAATTGCTATTAGCCTTGGTTGATAATGGAACATTGGCTAAAATCAGAGCTATTCCGCCTTCGATTCTTAATTCTGAGGTAAATGATGTGAGCATTTGGAGTGGATCTGGGGATTTCTCTATAACTTATATGTGTTCTCAAATCTCGCATACATCTAGCTTCAGTGTGAACAATGTTAAGTTCGTTTGGAAATTTATCTAGAAGCCTAGGGCCCAGAGCAAACTTGGAATTTTATTTAGATGTTGTTCCATAATGGTTTCCTTACTAATTATTTTCTTGGGCATCTCAAATTAAGGAATGCATATTATGATGACTGCATAACTCAAGAGGATTCTGCTATGCATACCTTGCGTGGTTGTACTGCGGCTAAGAGTAGAAATAGGTTAGACTGATAACAGGGGCCTACGGATCTATTCTACACAGACTCAGACCAGACCAAACTTTTTTTAAATAGAAAAAGTCTGGGTTCTTTTATAAGCTTATTTAGATAAAAAGGTTAGGCATCAGGCCATGAAAAAAACTTTTAAGTCTGATAGGCTGATCTATTTAAATAAATATGAATAATTTTTTTATTATCATTATGTTATGTTCTGTACTTTGAATTAAAATACATAAATAAAAATTGATTATTTTGAAGAACTAGTGAAAATAAGATGAAAACACCTTATGAACAATGTTATAAGTTATTTTTCATAAATTATCTTAAACAAATAATCTCACAAAACTTATGCTAATAGGTAAAGTTTAAATAAGTCAATGTAAACAAAATTATAGTCTCATTGGTTTTTTAGTTTGTTAGTCTATTTAAAATAACAGTCTTTTATGTAGGCTAACACGCTAACCAAATCTTAGGAAATGTCAAACTCAGGCCTAAAATAAGCTCATGACAGGCTACAGGCCAGACTTAGGCTTTAGTTTTTTCGGTAGGCCAGGCTTAAGCTTGGTGAAGCCTAATTCGGTCCAACCTATTTCCACCCCTAACCGTGACGAAGCAGATTTAGTCTCAATTTATTAATAATACTAATAAGCAAATTTTCTTTCAAGCAGAGTTTGAAGCTTGACTTCAAATCAATATGCATAATAATTTGAATCTTAGGTACATGGATTGGGGGGCATTATGGACCTTTGTGTGTCATTCAATTTGGATGCGGCGGAATCAAAGGCTCCATAATTTCAGCTTTATTATGCCTTATAATGTTGCTAAGTGTATTTCAGACCAGGTGTAGTAGTATTCGAATTACTGCACTATGAAACAACGCTTGGTTCCTCTCTCCTCTATCTCTTTTCAGGTGCATTGGAATCCTCTTAAAGGTGATTGATATTGTTTAAATGTTGACGAAATTGTGGGTCAAGATGGTATGGCAGGTTGTGAAGGCCTTTTGCGGGCTAGCAACATTTGACTAAAAGGTTTCAGCAATTATATTGGTAAAAGTAACATTGTTCATGCTGAGTAATGGTATTAAGAAGTTGCAAATTCAAATTGACAATAAAAGGGTGGTCTTTATGCTGCAAGAGGTTGATAAAGTGTCTCAATCTAGTTTTAACTTATTACTTCACATCCTTTGAAGACGTCAATTTTGAGCATATATGTATCACAAAGTTACTCGTAGTGCGAATTTGTTAGCTAAACAAGGTCGTAAGAGTTTTAATAGAATTTATGACACTAGTCCTAAGTGACTTCTTCCTCTGTTTAAGGATGATCTTAATGTTTCTTTTATAAGACATTATGAGTAGTTGTCTTATATTTCTGAGCTTTTCTTATCCCATTTTACAAAAAAAAAAAATTAAAAATTGTGCATTTGCACGAATCAATTAATTTTTTTTCAATAAAATTAGATATTTTTATATTATTGACAAATAAATTACTAAATTGTTATTATAATTTTTTTACATATGAACGATTTTTACCATAAAAATCATTTGAATCGCAAGATAAAAATCTATGCGACTTGGTTTGTTTCGGTTGACTTTTAAAATAAAATCAAACCAAACAAAAACGGTTTGGATTGTTTGATTTTTTATAATATATATTTTTTAAACAAATACCAAATCATTTGTACATTTAACGTTACCGAATAACAAGTCATTCATGCAAGACCAAATATTATACAATTAATCATAAAATTAATTAAAAAAGAAAACCGCATTCACAATAAAACAACCTAAAATAACATCACAACCCAAACTAACAAACAAAACCCTGGCAGAACATAACCATTAGAAGTTGCTGCATCTCTATCTCAAATCTCAATTTCCAAACCCTAACAATCATATTCATTTCAAAAACACTCTACCTTTTCGCTGCAATCGGATCTCAAGGACTTCCATCATTTTTCTGTGAATTCGATCTCAAATCTGCAGTCTCTTCGTCCTGTTAGTTTTCTGGAAAATTAGGGTTTTTTTTTTTTGTGAAATTGGGAATTCAATTTTTAAGATATTAGGGTGAAGTAGTACCATTGTTGAATTGGTGCTGGCAATGCCATTGGTGTAGTCACTGAGATAAAAAAAATTGGGTTGTTGTAATACAGAAAAAGCATAATGTCTTGGGCAGGTCCTGAGGATATTTACCTTTCTACTTCACTGGCCAGTTATCTTGACAGTGAGAACTCTCTCTATCTTTCTCTGTGTATAGCTTTCTTTTTGTTTTTGATTTGTGTTTAATATTTACTGTCAATTGGTTCTGAAGTTTACATTAATTCTTGTTGCAGAGAAACTTCTTATACTGCTAAGAGATGGTAGAAAGCTCATGGGGACACTTCGCTCTTTTGATCAATTTGGTATCAACTTCTCAAATTGTGTAAAGGTTTGACATGCTTTTGGTTGAGTTTCTAATAGCTTCTATCGATAATATGCAGCTAATGCTGTTCTTGAGGGTGCCTGTGAGAGGGTTATTGTTGGTGATCTATATTGTGATATCCCTCTGGGGCTTTATGTCATCCGTGGAGAGAATGTTGTTCTAATTGGTGAGATGGTATGGTTGCTGATTATTTCACTTTGAATTGAAAATTATCTATACATTTTAATCTCAGTTTTACAACCGTCTTTCATTTTTTAGGACTTGGAGAGGGAGGAACTTCCCCCACATATGACGCGCGTTCCAACAGAAGAAATTAGGAGGGTAAATACTCATGAATTTAACTTCTTTATGATGTTCTTTGTTTATTTTCTGTCACCTTGTTTTTGCTATCATTTGAGGTAATGTCATGTTCTGACATGGAAATACATTGCAAAGGTGCCTATTATTGTCATTATGTCATACTTTCATTTTTTTTCTTACTTATCTGTACAAACCAAACATCCATTACATCTGAAAATGTAAAGCACTTCTGAACTTCTGAATTAAACAGATCATTAGGGCTTGAAAGTAGTTAGTTAGAAATTTGAATAGTTATTTAGTATAGTCATGTTTGGAAAGTTAAAGTGTTAGGGCTAGGGAATTAGGTTAAGTAGGAGGAGAATGTAGAATAGGGGCATGTGAGTTGTTATCAGTTGAGAATGAGCACTAGCGGTGGAAAGGGGAAAACCCTTTGTGAAAGGCAAACCCAGGAGTGTGGTTAAGATCGAGTGCTGGGTCTTACGATCTTACGTGTTGAAGTTGCCTTTTAGTGCTACGATCTGAGAAAAAACTTTTTCCATGCACTTTGTGGTCTCAAGATCGAGTGCTGGGTTAAGATCTTACAATCTTACATGCTGAAGTTGCCTTTTATATGACTATCATGATACGAGAATACATAATTTCTTAGATGATTAGACTTGTTTGTTAGGTTTATGTTTTTTGAGCTACTTATTTTGAGCAAAGTCTTTTGAACTTGTTAAATTATGGAATGATAGTTATGAGTTATTAATTAAATTGGTTGAATTTTGTGATTTATAAGTTATTTTGCCCATGTATTAATTATGGAATCATAAACTCAGCGAAGAGATAAACAGAGGGAAAAAAATAACCTTCCGTTCAAAAAAAAAAAGAAAAAAATTCACCTTGAATGTGGCTGTGGCTGTGGAATTCCGATGTGGTTGTGGAGATGAAAACCGAGTAAATGATTCTCCTTTTCCCACCTGCAACAATAAATTGTTTTCATTTCCCATGCTTCTGTACCGAGTGAATGTGGATCTTATCCACTAGATGCGTAGATGAAGAAATGAGGTTTGTCATCAACACGTCCCTCCCTTCTTGATACGAATCAACACGATGATTCTTGTGAGCCAACGAGGAAATGAAGTCGACCCAGACAAGGGAAAATATATGAAGATTATTATATCTCTTTTGAATGCAAATTCTACTATCATTGTTTATGAACCTATTAAAATTACAATTTTGTCCTTCGGTAAGATCTTAAGTGCCGTGCTACAATCCTAGTTTACGATCTTTTATAGACCATCCGATCCTACTTAAGATCCCGTGACTACCTTGCCCGGGACAGAAAATTTGCTCCTTAGATCCGTGTCTATAACCTATAGGTCTCTTTCTGTAATTCTATAAACACTGCAGAAGTGTTATTTCTAATTCTCCCTAGCTTCTGTTGGTAATCCAATTCCACGTTAACAACACATTGATGTAATCCTTGAAGGTCTTCCACAAGATTATGGATCAGTTATCTCTGTTATTGAGAGCAAATACAGGTTGCTAGAATTTGAAGAAGTTGAAGCTCTGTTGATTGCTCATGAGACGCGTATTTCAAAATTTAACAAGAAGATTCAACTAGATGTGGCCTCAATTAATCTCACAGTCCAAATCTGAGGTCAATACTCCTTCCTTAGCCAAGGATCCTTCTAATTCTCCCTTTGCTACTGGAATGGCGGCCACGACGGATTTTTTGACAACCATAGACAATTCGTGAAGGAACGCCTGCCATGGCGCCACCATTGGCAGCAATGGCTTGTTTGTATGGATGGTTTTTGGCCTTCCGGCATACTAATTATGTATTGACTCTTTTTACCAAATTCTGACGAATTAAGTTAGTGCTACATATTAGGGATCCTTGAAGATGTTTTCTTTATGTAGATGGTTGTGGCATTATAAACTGATTGAGAGAAGCCCTTCTATGCCCCTCTTATCTTGGCTGCTATCCATTTTCCTAGGTTTTGATTTTGATACTTACTTGGAAGTTACCTTAGCAGTAAGCTAGTATTTTTCCATTGCATATATTGAAATGCTTCTTAGTTCTGATTTTTTGGTCGACTTCAGAAAACTAGATACATTTAAGGGTTTAATAATTATGTAGACCAGAAGTATTTTGCTATGTGCAGACAATATGACTTTCATAATTTATGCAGAAAACTGTTACAGCCATGTGCACTCTGATGATTCATAGATCCACTATAACTAATTAGCATTCTAACATATCTACATCGCCTTGGGCTGAATACCAAGTTAAAAAAAGCATATCTAAATTAATTCTTGCTTCAATAATTATAATCTTAAACTAAAGTCCCTAAACTACTTGTTCCTTCTACTTAGAATTGATTAGCTCTAGCGATTGTACTATTAAACATGACACGTTTTTCTTAAACATGACACGTTTTTCTTATGATTGAAGGTGTTTGAATAACTTATTTTTTTGTGTCCATTGATTTTCCGTAATGATTCGGAATTCGTTGCATCCAGTCCTAGAAGTTGATTTTATGCAAGTTACAATTTGTTAAGTATTCTATTTTATTTGCAGGCCCAGAAAGTAGAAAGGGATGCTTCAGATCTGAAAGGTACTATGAGAAAAAGAATGGAGTTCCTTGACTTGGACTAGTGATTAACTCTACACAATGGCTCGCGCATCCGCAAATATTATAGCGGCTCTTCTCCAAGATATTTAATTTTGTTCCTCTATGATATTGTTGGCTTTCATGGGAGGGATGAAAGCATTATTGAAATTTCTTATGTAATTTTAGTCTGAGAAATCATTGCTATTACTATTCCTTTGCTTTCAAATTCAAATTGGTACGGTGACACAGATGACATAAAATCTATTGCATGATGCATCTTTCTAGTTGGGGGAATAATTTTAGGGTTCACAATGTTACAATTTTATATAGTATCTATTTGTTTAATTTGAATAAAACAACTTACTATTGATTTCATTAACTCAGACAAAACACGACGTGAGTGACTTATCTAGGGCACCGGCAACATTTGTCTGTACAAAAAAAATTAATCAAATTAAATTTAAAATATTCATTTGTTATTTTATAGAAATCAATGCCGTTCTAGTCTTAGTCTCCCTTCACCAACAACATTTGACTTCTCAAACCGGTTATTGTACAAGAAAAACTAATTAATATTCCTTTTTCATTGTATATAACTTCAAAGAAAAATGATTATATTGTATTGATTTGGTAATAAAATAAATTTAATTAAAGTATTTTTATTAACAGTATAAAATAAATTAAATATTTCATCACTAATGTAAAAAAATATTTAATATGCTGAAAATTTTAAATGTGCAATTTCTTATTTTTAAATGTATTTGATTTTGGGTCATAATAATTAATTTTAAATATTTCAAATCTAAAATTGATTCTTGTATATAGTTTAAGATTAAAGATCACAAAGGATGACATATCCCGCAACATCAATATCCTATATATTCTATAAATATTTAAATATTCATATTCATATTTTCATATTCGAATATTTAAGTTGCGTATGTTTTACGAATTTAAAATTTATCCTATATATTCTATAAATATTTAAATATTCATATTCATATTTTCATATTCGAATATTTAAGGTGCGTATGTTTTACGAATTTAAAATTTATTTTAAAATTTATTTTTATAACTTTGATATTTTTTATTTCCACGTAAAAGGGCAAAAATCTTACATGAAAATAAAAAATAACCACCTTATAACCTTTCACTCTAAATTAATTTAATTCTTTTATACATATTTAAAAAAAAAATATATATATATATATATATATATATATATATATATATATATATATATATATATATATATATATATATATATATATATATATATATATATATATATATATATATATATATATATATATTTTATAAATATTTTAAATATCTTGAATTACCTACCAAACCAAACACATAAATAGAAATTATGGTATTATTATTTCAGAGAATAATATTTTGACAATTATAAATTTAATCTTTTAAACAAACACATTTTGTATAAGATAAGAATAAGTAAGGTTGGACAAATTTGAACAGACAAAAACGAGTTGGGAGGGATCGAGTGTTGGGTTGATTCGATTGCCTAATTTGAATAATATAGAGTTGTTTCAGTTGAGTTTAGATTCTTATTTTAAATCCGACAAAAATTAAAATCAACCAAATTTAATTAATATATATTTTATTTATTTTTATTATTATATGACTCACGATAAAAATGAAATATATAATATTGCAGGATATTATCATTTTTATAATTTAGTGATATAAGACATGCAATATAAAGTTTTAAATATTATTTAATTTATGGTTTAAAATATGATAATAATAAAAATTAATGTTAAATAATATTAAAAATATTATTCCATAATAATAATTTCTTTTCTATTTTGAAATTTTGAAATTTTTATAATAAATTTTAAAAAATAGCCATTTTTACAAAATTGTTCTAATAAATATTAATGGACTAAATTGATCTAACTTAATTGTCAAACTAATTTAACCGAATTTGACAAAAAAATCAAAATTTTATTAATCAAAATTGATTCATAAAAATAAAAATATGATTTACGTCGAATTTAAGTTTTTAGTTCGAAAACAAGTAATCCCTCCCGATTATGCAACCTTAGGAGTAAGGAGTAACATTCTCCATTTCTTTTGAAGAAATAGACATCTTCCTTATTATAATTTTTATGCATAAATATCTAGTTAATGTGATATATTCTAAAATAATTAGTGTAAATTGATAGTAATAGAAACCTCCGTTTCACTCATCTACCTCAGTTAAACCCATTTTACCTTCTTTTTTCAGACACTACTTCAAAGATTCAGACACTACTCTTCTTCTTCTTCTTCACAGTTCCAACTTCAGACAAACCAAAATCTCCTTCTTCACTTCTCACACATTTCCACAGATCCACAACCATCTTTCTCTCTCCAACACTTCATTCTCTCTCTCTCTAAAATGTCTCCTATAACTACTCTCCTTACCATTCTCTTCCTCACCATATCTCTCCAAACACAAGCTTCCGTCCACGACTACAAAAGCGAAACTTTCTCCGTCAAAGGCAACGCCTTTGTCGTCCATGGAGGCAGCGAAGGAATTTACTCATCTACCCTCAATGAAACTTCCGTCTCACCTTCAATTCCCGACTCTTTCATACGGTAATTCCACTTCACATCCCTTTCTGGGGTTTTTCTCTTTCGCTTTAAAATATTTCCTTTTAAATTTTTTCTTTGTTACATTCTCTTGGGTTGGTAGTACATAATGCTAGATTTAGAATTATAATATATGTTTCTTCAATTTCTAAATTCAGCTTTTCGTGTAGTGTGTGTTTGTAGATTGTTAGTTAAAACTAGCATTTGTTATAAGCTGATTATTTCACAGTTTGATTTTGATACATTGAAATATAAAAAGAAATTATGCTGATTTTTTTGTTAATTGGGTATGTGAAAACCAGGTTTGATAAAGTCACATTCCGTAGAAACAAGGAATTATCAAACTTTAGCTCATGGCCGATTCAAGCTGTTGTTTTTGAAGTTGAAGATAGAGAGATGATTGGTGGTTCGGCTTATGGTGGTCAACGGGCCGTTTGTTGCACTGGTGATCTGGCTAAACTCGGTGTGTGTAATGAAGGACAGGTCATTCACCGTCCTTCTACCGTGAATCCGGATTGGCCTCAGGTTTACGGTGTTGCTTTTGAGATGGACGATGAAGTAGCGGAGCTGCCGTTGAAATCTATACAGATCACGAAAACTGGGATGTATAATTTGTATTTCATTCATTGTGATCCGAGGCTTAAGGATTTGGTTGTAGAAGGGAAAACCGTATGGAAGAATCCATCGGGTTATCTTCCTGGTAGAATGGCACCGATGAAAATTTTCTTCCAGTTCATGTCTTTTGCATATGTGTTGCTTGGTGTCTTTTGGTTCTTTCAATATCTTAGATTTTGGAAGGAAGTGTTTCCACTGCAAAACTGCATCACACTAGTGATAACACTAGGAATGTTTGAGATGGCTTTTTGGTACTTTGATTATGCCGAGTTTAGCGAAACGGGAATCAGGCCAACCGGGACGACCATATGGGCAGTTACGTTTGGAACTGTTAAGAGAACTATTGCACGGTTGATCATTTTGATTGTTTCAATGGGCTACGGTGTTGTGAGACCTACCCTTGGAGGCCTTACATCGAAGGTTATTATGCTTGGAGGAACCTTCTTTGTTGCATCTGAAGTTCTTGAATTGGTAGAACATGTCGGTGCAATAAGTGATCTTTCTGGTAAAGCAAAACTATTTTTGGTTCTTCCCGCTGCGGTATTAGATGTGTTCTTCATTCTTTGGATTTTCACTTCACTCTCTGCAACTTTAAATAAACTTCAGGTACTCATCAACAAGTTTATATTATCATCATAGTTTCTTACGTTTCATATATAGTAGTTATTTCTCGAAGATGTAACATAAAATGCTTATGCAACGTTACAGGCCAGAAGGATGATGATAAAATTGGATATGTATCGGAAGTTCACCAATGCTTTGGCGGTAGCTGTGGTGGTATCTGTTGGATGGATCTGTTACGAGGTAATTCACAAGCAGAAACACATTTCATTTACTTTCTATACTAACCATGCCTAGTTTTGATGATTGAGTCGAGCTCATTGGTTTATGAAATCAGATGCTATGAATAAATTAAAAGGAATTTTAGTCTAGACTAGATCAAGAAATCTTCGGCGAAATAGAAGATCATTAAGTTTTCGATATTTCTTGTGCTTACCTTGCCAATTTTCTTTCAGCTGTATTTCAAATCAAATGATATATACAATGAGCAATGGCAAAATGCTTGGATCATCCCAGCGTTTTGGCAAGTTCTATCCTACTCTCTCCTGTGTGTCATCTGTGTTCTCTGGGCACCATCTCAGAATTCAACGCGGTAAAATTCGCACCTCTGTCTTTACTTCCGTATTGTTATTTATGGCCTACTTCTATCGATTTATTTGAGTTTATCTACACTCATAAGCACTTGTGAAACTGTTCGGGAACAACTTATGACAAGACGAGTTTTCTCTCCCATGCTCTATGTTCATATACCTCATTTGTATCTCACCGTTGTTTCTTTTGACAGATATGCGTACCGTGATGATGGGAGCGAGGAGTTTGACAGGGATGATACTACTTTGACCCTCATAAAACCATCATCTATTTCAACAAAGGATGTTAGAAGTGTTCCAGATGTAAGGCCAGTACAAGACAACAATGGAACTTCAAATGATGATTTAGAAGAAGATAAAAGAGAATAAGCTAGAATGTAGCCTTGGTTCTATGATTCCATTGTATCATTAGCTCTATAACTATTTTCTTTGTTGAAAATTAGCTCTAAAACTCTTTCCTTTTATTTATTATTTTTTCTGATTAGTCTTCTTTGTTCTTAATCTGTTAGCAGTTACTTGTAAGTCTGAATTCCATGATAGAAGTATAGTTCAGTTTTCTAATACAAAGAAACTGTCTTCAATTATGAAGTATTTTATGTATATTATTATTATTATTATTATCCATGTGCATGGAAGCATACATGTGGGGGACATTTTCTAACTTTTTTCATTTTCAAGTTTCCAGCTGGATAGTATATATAGTATTTTAATAATGATTATATGGATTGATGATGAAAAGGGTTCAGAATCCTATTCTTTTAGATCATTTTCACATTGTTCTAATTTTTTATGTATTGAATTGTTTTAAATCCTCTTCTGTTACAACTTTGCCATTTAAAATCACTCAACAAAAAGTCCTAGTTCTCTTCAAAGTTGAATCACACAGCTAAGAAAATTCATTTGGGTTTGTTGAAGAATATTTATAGAAGTTCTTTAATATTCTTATAGCAAATGTTAAGAGAAAAGAGGAATTCATATGCATGTAATTGATTGATTGACATATTAGTGTAATCGGTTATATACCAAAATTTCTATGTAAAAATTGAATAAGAAACAAAGTATAATTGATTGATATAATATTTCGACTGGTTACGACTGATTACACTTAAGTATTTTTTTAGTAGAATGTAACCGGTTTGCATAATTACATTTGGGAGTTGTTAGTTTTATTTTATTAGTTAATTGTATCTCATCATGTTTTATATATATATATATATATATATATATATATATATATATATATATATATATATATATATATATATATATATATATATATATATATATATATATATCCTTTAGGTAGTTTATGAATGAAAAGATTGCATATTTTCATCCTCAATTATCACTCTCTTTCATTCTCCCCCCTCTGCATATTCAATTATTCACCACTTTTATCAACCTTATGGTTTCAAGTTCCAACATTTGCCATCAAGAGGCAGCTTAGATCCATCAAACACATTGTGTGTAAACATAACTTCTATCTCCAACAAAAGAATTCATGCAAATATCAAAATTCTTGATGCAAAGAATTACGACAAGTGGTGCAAACAAATGAAGGTGTTTTTTTGGCTATCAAGATGTTCTAGAAGTGATCAAGAATGGGATAACTACACTTATAAAAGGTGCTATAGATGCATAACGTTCTAAGCATAAGGAGGAGAATACGAAAGATTTCAAGACACTGTTTTTGATCCATCAATGTGTGGATGCAAACAATTTTTAAAAAGTTGGTGATTGCGAATCATTGAAGCAAGCGTGGGGAAATCTTGGAGAAGACATACGTAGGGACTGACAAGGCGAAGGTTGTGAGGTTACAAACTCACATACGTCAACTTGAGTTGATTCAAATGGAGGAGAAGGAGGTATTAACGATTTCACAACGAGAATGACTTGATTGGTGAACCAAGTAAATGTGTGTTGAGAAACGATCACAGAGCAATATATTATCGCAAAAATCTTGCGTTCTGACGCCAAAATTTGACAATGTGGTGGTTGCGATTGAGGAGTCGAAGGATCTTGGAATAGAGTTGCTGGATCAAACAACTCTAAAGGAGGCAATCTAAAAAGGAAGAGAAATGGTTGATAAGAGCAGTGTGCATTGCAATAATTGTCAAAAGTTTAGCCATTTTGCAAGAAAGTGCAATTCCAACAAAAAAGAACCTTAAGAAGATGAAACTAGTGAAGGATTTTGTCTTTCAATCAAGTGTATTAATCTAAATATAAATTGGACAATTTATGGAGATAAAATATATTATAATATTAGTTGATCATAATGCTTAGCGAGAAGTCAATTATATTTTATTGGACACAGATATTTAATCAAATACTAATATTATTGGGTCCTATGAGATCACGCTAATAGTAACATCAGGATTAAATTGGGAGGTTATGGATTGGAAGAGAAATTGAGAGGTTTTGAAAGTTATGGTTTGGAAAAGAAATGATCTTAAAAGGGATGATTAATTCACTTAATGTATGATATTATGGACTTAATCAATCCTCCTCCATTTAACCATATATAAGATAGAGGTTACATGGTAAATATTCACCATTCTATCTTTCAGGTCTCCCTAGTCATAAAATTAAGGATAGAAACTTGTTCCATTCTTTTGTACTAGCATACGTGGTGATCTGGTTATTGCTCGTGGACCAACACTAGAGGAACAATGCTTGACATTCTCAAAGATCTCCATTGAAAGCTAAAACCTTCATGGACTCATGCATCAAAGGTATATATTCGTATACTTTATATGATTCATATTGATATGTGCATAATAATCTTGGGGTTAGATGTTAAGAATGAGATTCTTGAAATTCCGCTATAAGCATCTAAAGTCCAACATCTACAGTTTCACGCCAAGTGTTCGACGAGGAGAACACACTCTTGGTCATGATCACAAAAGGAGAATGCAGTAGCAACATCAATTTGAAAAACACTGCAGAATTAAAGTGTAATTAGTTATAGTTTTATGCCAACCAGTTACATGCATAAGAAAATGAAATTGTGACTTTGAAGGAAGCAGTGTAGTGCAACGGTTAATGGTATTTGGACTCTAGATGTTCAACGCATATGACGAAAAATAAATATTGGTTTGTTACAATCAATAGTGCCATGAAAAACAAGGTTAAGTTTGCGGATGATACCACTTTAACAACGGAAGGGATCAGTGATGTATTGATCGAGAAAATGGGTGATAGACATTCTTTGATAAAGGATGTATTGTATATCCCCATAATCAAGTGTAATCTTCTAAGTATTGGCCAATTTCTTGAGAAGGATTACAAGATTCATATGGAGAATAAGACATTACGATGCAAATAGGGTTTTGATCCTAAAAGCTCCTATTGCTCCCAGTAGAACTTTCAAAGTTGAGTTGAAGGTTATTAAGCACATGTGTCTCGCTGCTGAAGCTAGTAGAGAAGCCTCTTTATGGAAATATAGGGTTGGGCATCTCAACTTTAGAGATCTCAATACCTTGCAAAATAATATAATGGTGACGAGGCTGCCATTGAATAACATACCGACTAAAATATGTTTCAACATAAAGAAAAATTTAGCAAGGATGCATGTTTTAGAACTAAGTATCACCTTGAGGCGGTTTATTCAGATTTGTGTACCGATGCAAGCTGATTCAATTGGTGGCAATATATATTTTGTCAAGTTTATTCATGATCATAGTAGAAAACTATGGGCATATATAATCAAGATAAAGGATGAGGTACTTGAAGTGTTTAAGAAGTTTAAGTCCATGGTTGAAAGACAAAGTGGTCACAAACTCAAAGTTCTCAAAACGGATGGTGGAGGTGAATATGTCTCAAATTACTTTGGTATGTTTTGTGAACAATAAAGGATAATAAATGAGTTAGTACCATCTTATACAACGTAGGAAAACCATGTTGCCAAAAGGATGAATTGATTGATCATGAACATGGTGCGAAGCATGTTGAAAAGGAAGAATTTGTCGAAAGAGTTTGCTGTAACAACTGCATATTTGTTGAATAGGTGTCCAACAAAGAAGCTTAAGAAGATAACCCCAGAGGAAGCACAACCTGAATTTAAACAGAATCTGAGTCACTTGAGAGTTTTTGCTTTGGTAGCATATTGACATGTGTTGGAACAACTTAGAAAAAAGCTGGATGATAAGGGAGAATTGATGATTCTTGTAAAGTATCACTCTACCGGTGGTTACAAGTTGTATGATTCAACGATTAGAAGGATTGTGATCATATGAGACGTCATTTTTGACGAAATTAAAGAAGTGCAACCAGATGCACTATGTTGTCAACCGGTTTCACTAGTGAAAAATCTAGTCATGAACTGCTATAAAGTACAGAACCAACCCCTATTAAAACCCAAATGGAAGAAAATGTTAGAATATTATCAAGGCAAAGAAGTTTTCATGCTAGATTCTCAATAACGAAACCAAGGCAAAGTTGTATCAATCAAGAGCATACGCCTTGTCACGCGAGTTCGCATTTTTGGTTGTTTCTCAACTAAGATCAAGTCGTCTTGTCAGTGGCGCCTCAAACTCATTTTTTAGTAACTAGCTTTCAGATGTCGAATCATTATCTTTCAATACATGATCGACATTTGTTTTCACTTTGCTTTCGCAGCTGACATAAGACATGGATTGAAATTAAAATTCTAAAATAAAGCAACTTATACCTCTAACAATTACGAATAAATAACTTAGTAGGGGCTTGTCATGAGGGGGACTCTCATAACCCCATGTCCCTAAAGATCTACTCACTAATGTTGAGATGAACAACAACCATAAATAAATTTAAGAGCATTGCATGAAAAGTAAGTAAAGGGAAAATAAATAAAGGAATAACAAACTAAAGATGAAGATGAATGTAAAATTATGACTCCGTCAATTGGCATGCCTCCAAGGGGAGGAACATGGGTAGTGTCATGAGACATAGTATGGTCATGTTCGACTCTAAAATTTTGTATTAAAAATGCTCCTTTTGTGCGAATTTTGACCTTTTTTGTCCCGGTTCGCTTCATTTATCACTTATTACCTTGAAACAAACATAGGAGACAAAAACACGTAAAATTGAACTAGAATGCTTAAAGCACACATGAAATCAAAGCGAAAACAAGCTAGAAACATGATACATTTACAACCTATCAACAACTCGTGTTAAAGAACACAACCTTCTCGTGTTCTCCTCTGCTTCCTCATATGGGAGGGAGCTTCTAGTGCCAACATGGCCCAACTGTGTTGGCCTCAGTTTTTGTGTACTGGTAGACTCCTCTTCTTGTGTTTTTTTGGTCATTTTTCGTTCCTCTTTGATTTTTGGCACTCCTTATCAGCGAAAAAAATAAAATAATACCAAAAAGCAGTAAAAGAGGAATAAAA